ACTGAAATACCAAAGTCTCTCAAGATCCCAGTGCCACACTGACATGTTGTTGACTGGATATAATGTACCTACATGTGTGTGTGTGTGTGTGTGTGTGTGTGTGTGTGTGTGTGTGTGTGTGTGTATTCACAAACATATACATCTATTATATTAGATATAAATGGAGCACACGCTTTCATTGTTATGTAACGTGTTCCTGGAAAATGGATGAGGCCCCTCCCTTGGAAAATTGAGAAGCTGGTTTGGCAGTCACCCAGTATTATAGTCATCTATAGTTTGAAGACTATACTACAAAATGTACATTTGCATTCATTTATAGACATTTTAACTTTTTATCTTTGATAGATTGGCTTTTTTGGGATCATTCTTGACGCGCAGCGGCCTGATTTTCCCCTCGAATTGGGGTCTTGAAAAAAATTTTGGGGTCTTGAAAATATTTTCCAGGATTTGGTGGGGACCCTGTCAATCAGATAATAGTGTAAAAATAAGATCTGGTCATACTCACACCTTGCTGCGTGGGTGGTTGGCGGGTGCTCTGGTGTGGTTTGCTCCTTCTTTCCTATCAGACATAGGCTATTGTCCTTATCTCCCCTTCTTCTTTTTTTTATGTTTGTTACTCTCTTGTAACACCTCTTATCTTCTGGCGCTTATATGACCTTCAGTTGCGAACGCCGTAAAACCTCTACTAAAACTAAAACACCTTGCTGCAGTCCTCAGGAAGTTCGCCTGCACTCGATATTAGCAGCTCTACTAAGTCCTGAACGCCACCGGGGACAAATAAATCTCTCACACTTCACACAACTTTATTTTCTTCCCTATCACTACGTCACTGACGTTTACGAGATAAGCAGATGACAGCGACACCCGCATGGAGCGCACCGTGCAGTAGTAAAGCAGCGTTGTGTTGTCGGCGTCAGGATTTGATTGTGACTGGTGATGATCGTCCTGCGTCGCTGGCGAATGGACGCGAGTGTCGCGTGTTTTGGTGTGTGACGCGTGGGAATATGGCCGCTCGTTGGCCAATCACACACGTCGCTTATCTTGTGGCGCCCCGCTTTCCTTTGTTCACCATGGACACGCTCAATAAACGTCCTGTTTACAAAACGTTTCTTTTAAAGTTATTTTTCCCCCTCCAATAGAATTGCGCAAAGTGGGCGGATGGCGCGTGCCCTGGTGTGGTTTGCTCTTTTTTTCCTATCTTACCTTTCATTGTCTCTCCTCCTTTTATTTATTTATTTTTTTTACTCTTCATAAGCAACAATATTGGCGAATACATATAATACTAATACAGGATAAAAGTTCAATATATTTAAAAAATGGAAACGAAAATCTCTGGAGAAGATTCGATTCTTCTTGTAGCACAGGTTCAATTTGTACTTCAAGCACGCGATGAAACTTTTGACATCACAGTTGTTTTTTGCATATTATGTTCCTGATGCTGGTCTGCATGACAATATGATAAATTGTATCCATGCGAACTGCGGTCGGTGGAGCACTGATTCTTGACTGATTTGGTTATGGAGTCAGAGTGGGTCAGCCTAGCCCTGCCCTTTTTTGCTTGGACAAGAACTGTTTCAGTGCTACCTTGAAATTCTGGCAGTTCCAAAGGCTTCTGATTAAGCAGTTCGCGGTGTCTCTTGTACCGTAACCAAGCGACTATGACAGAAATGTTCAGACAGAAAAAAGATGTACACGCATCAGATCATCGCCTTGTTTTGAGACGGAACTTGTAGGGAGAAGTGAGTCCACCCAAGAGGCCAGTGCCAGATGTGTACTGGATGGCAATTTGGGGATAGGGTACTTCGCTCCTCTTTTTTAAGTACTGTATCTGTTCACTTTTTTAAAAGTCGTTTGCCCTAACAAAAGTTGAAATAAGATCTACAGGCTTGTTGTCAGGTTCTGGTTCTGGGAGAGAATAAATCAGGGTTTCAAACAGGGTAATCAAACTTATCATATATATTCACACTTATACCATTGCAGAATTATAAAACTAATGCACGAGTGGTAGTGGCTTTTAAAAAAACAAAACACAAAAGTACAATGTATAGCCTATGTATTTCCCTGGCAGACACATAATTTGACATGGGTCACGTCCCCTTAATCGTTCCTCTTGTACACAATATGCCGTAAATATTATATGGTACACTATGCTTTTTTTTTCAATAGGCCCGAGGCCTAGAATACCCTTCCTGCTTACATAGTTAAAACTATTATGTTTGCGTTTTGCAGCCAATTGATAACTTTATGTGACCCAAGTAAGAGGCGTAATGGTTCAACTTTCAAAATTCAACAGCAGAAGTCGGGTAAACGGGTAAAAATGAACAGCAAATCAAGTGAACAACAAGAGGCCCTAATTTGCTTGAAAGTTTCGAGGGTTTCCAGAAATCTTGACCCTCACCAAAAGTGGGCATTGCCCTACCTATAGGAGAAATTTGGTTTCATTGGTGAGTGTATTTGTTTGGTTATAGAGAAAACTCTCCTTGTCTTTTGAAGAAACTCAACAATGGGCAAAAACTTTACCTTCGATTTTCTCAAAACAGCATTTTTCGGGATAGCCCTCTTGTGCAATAAAAGCCACCATTTAGACCAAAGGTGGTGGCGTTTTACATTATTTTATTGTAGTATTGAGGGATTTCTCAGTAGACCGTGGTAGATCGGGCGGAACTTATCGTAGACCTCCGCAGCGCGATAGACCACAGACCTTTTTCTCCACCTGTATCAACATTATTTAATGTGGCCGACTTAGATTCGGTTGTTTTGTTGAGTGTGTTTTTTATAATATTTTTTGTTT